TAGGTTGGCAACACCCACTCTGCCAAATATTCCAAACTTAAAGACAGTAATTCAAAACTTAAGCTGAAGCAGTGACTCCAGTGATTTATCATAAACCAACAGCTGTGTCATGGTGACCAATAGATACAGTATTTCCAATTTTATGAAGCAGAACTGGGCAACTTGATAACTATTTTTCTCTCTTCAGCCACCTGGACCAAATCCAGATTGCAAGTCAACTAAAAACACAAGTTTGAAAGATGGCTAACATCTGTTAAATAGGCAGAAAATATGTTTTTAAGCCGCACTTCACTGAAACGGGAACAAACAATCTCAAGGCCAACAGTTAGCAGCAGTTTATCCCTTTTCCATTACCTGCTGCTAGAAAGGAAAATTGCTGCCAATAAAACAAATGGCAGGAAGTCAAAGGCTGATCTGTAACGAAAAAATAAATGGGAAACTAAGAACTGCTTCCTTTCTTTAGGACATGTTTGAAGTTTGGTCCATTAGCTAACTATGTGCAGTGGAGAAACCGCTTGAAGTGTGTTACAAATGTGATCCAAGCTTTGGGTTAATAATAGAAACCAAAAGTGACCGTATTTTGGCAACTTATTCAATATTGTCTATATTATTTGCTAAAGTTAACTGGCCAAATTGAAACAACACATGCCTTCAGACAACCCAGCCCCCCACTCTATTTACCGCACTTAACGCATGCCACAGTCACAAATCTCAGCATGCCAAGCTCTAGCTATAGCATCCCCCCTCACCTTCACACTGCCCCACTCACTTCCCCCTTGTTAGCCATCACTAAGTGGATCCAGAACACTGACCAGTTACACTAATTACTTTCAGAGACCCCAAAGAGATCAACCTGTGGTCGAATTGTGAAATAATAACTTTTAAGCTTTGAGTCTTTAGGGCTGGTGAGGTGACACATAAAGCAGCAAGAGAGACAACAGGCACAGAGATTTAGATTTTAACTGGAAGACTTCACATTGAAATATCTTTGTGTTGTTCAAGGTGCCAGCAGCTGTCATTTCCTGACACTATGTATTTCCCACAAACACACCATGGTCATCTCACTCCTCATGCACCACTTCCTAATTCCCCTTAGACTTAGCCACAGACGATCTGCGGCCTTGAGTGCGTTTGAATGTGTGCGTGTAGCAAAGAGTCCAAAGGGCTGAGGTCATCTGTGTAAACATATCACAGACACTACAGAGAAGTCAGTGAATGAGTCCACACACACACACACACACACACACACACACACACACACACACACACACACACACACACACACACACACACACTTTTGTATATGTATTCTGCCATGCCGTTGGCGGTTGGCAGGCCGCATGGGCAACAGCTAATTAGAAAGCTGAAGCGCTCGCCGTTCATTGGCTGAGCTCAAAACCACACGCTGGGTTTTGGTTAACATACACAGATTTATAAAAAAGACATAAACATTATGCACAGACATCTTTTCAGGGAAACCCTGACAAGGCTGTATTTCATCCGATGGCTGTAATTACATGTTAATAATACACCAATTACAGGTTTGGATTTGACAACATGACATCACAACTGTTCCCTAATCTGACCAATTAGTAACCATGGGAACCTGCACCACTGGCAGCTGAAAGGCTGGTAATCGTTATCAGACTGTGGGAATCTTCTTCAGTTTGTATGTGTGGTGGACAAATGAGCAAATGTAGTTCCTAATATGTAGAAATAAACCAATCATTCAAACTTTGTTGGATGACACTTACTCTCACAAACTCAAAAGAGAACCATCAAAGTTATTGAATTGAGTGTAGTCAAGATAAACTGGGAAATTATTCAGAAGTACTGTAAATGGTGCCACAGAGAAAAGATGGCACTCAGGATTCATTTCTCTCTTGCAACTTCAATTATTAATAAGGAAGGAAAAGTACATACAGAAAAAAAGTAGTTATAGGAAAGAAATCCCTATGAATGTTTTATATGAAACGCCTCTTTGTTTAATTAAAGGATCCAAAAATAACTCAAAATAATAGTGAATTGTTTAAATCTCCCACAACAGCCTCACAGTTACTCCTAATTGAGCAGAAAGGTATCTCCATCATAAAAAAAGGTGGTGATTCACGGCCATTAGTGCTATGCTTTATTCATGAGCCACACAGCACGTTGACCTGTCTCTGCAGCAAATGAGCATTATAATGACAGCTGTCGGCTACCTAGTCATTTTTCTGGTCAGGTTCATTAGATAAGAACTCAAACTATCGTAGTACAGACGACGCGTTAATTAAATCAGTGTGAGCTGTGTGTTCACACCACTCAGATACAGAGAACCGCTCCTACACTTGGCTCAGATTTTAGCGGAAGATTCCAATTTGGCTCGAGCACCGCCTAAGTATTGATGAGGTCTCAATAATTGATGAAATCATTAGCATGTCAGCTGCAGACCCGAGACAGTGTGAATGCACTATACACACCTCTCCACAGGGGTTTTAGTTATACTTATTCAGAAAATCAAGGCAGACATTAAAAATAGTATAAAAAATATGTGGAATGTTTTTGGAACTCCTACGATGAAACTAATTAATTGTAAACTATGAAACTCATACTCAAGCTGTTTTGATGGTTGATAGATTAAATAAAGAGAAAAAAATGTTAAAATTATTTCATTCAAGTTTCTTAAATTCTTGATCATTTGTGGTTTATTTTTTCCTCTTTAAAATGAATATCTATAAATCAACGACAAAGCGAAACAAATAACTGTTTTCAGCTATAAAATATTGCTTGTCTTCACCCTTGTTGAATGCAATGACATTTAGTTGTTGCACTTATGTCCGGGGACACTTCAAACTCTTCTAATCTAGTGTTTTTGTTGTGCTGGAACTCTTTCCCTTCATTCACGGTCATAAGAGGTTCCATCAAATCCTTCCCCTTCCTTTTGAGAAGCTCTGTCCAGCTCCTGTATTTACACTGGGCATGGCTTACAGAGTGCCTCAGAGACTTGTTAGTACTAATAGTGTAATAGTAACCGTTCTCTATTGGAGTGCCTGGTAGGGCTTGAAAGCTATTAGTGCCCCTTATTGTCTTTGATACAGTGTACACACGCAGAGCCGAGACAAGGCAGATGCTCGTTCAGAGGAAACAAAACGAGCTCAAACGATATAATCATATTCACATGTGACTTTACTTTAAACAAAAGCAATTCCAGTAGTCTGATAGTATTTCAGGAAAGATTACATAGAGAATTATTTGTAGCGTTACGACCGCTGTCCTCAGAATATTCTGTAACGTTTGTTGTGCTTCCTGGCGTGGTGCAGCAAACCTAAACCGTGCACGATCACGTCGTAGTTGATGATTTGAGTCGTGTTTTGCCAAATGATGCAAGAAGCAGAAACGCTTGATCCTCTCCGCTGAAGAACTTTCCACTCTCTTTAAGAGCCTGAATGCTTTAAGTACATGCAGCCTGGTATGGCTGCCGTGTTTCAACGTGGCCAAAATAGTTTCTCCATCTGCTGCCGCTTGTGTGTATGAGTGTGTGTGTGTGTGTGTGTGTGTGTGTGTGTGTGTGTGTGTGTGTGTGTGTGTGTGTGTGTGTGTGTGTGTGTGTGTTCCTGTGCGTCTTGAGTCTGTGTGGTATGCTGTGGTTGCTCACTGGCGCCAAATGTAGTCCCAGGCAGTGACTCCCGGTGTAACTGTTGCTCCATAAGTCCTATCAGTACCGAGCCAAACACTTCAACAGATGATACAGAACACCGATTCTGGAGCACCTTAGATCATTCTATCTTCGCAGGAACATACACCAAAAAACAACAACACAACAACTTTCCTCTAAGTTGGTTTCAGCCGCAAAAAAAGACATGGAAGAAGTTGAGAGACACCACAACAGACAAACTGCAGCAGCAGTGCAGGGCCCGAAGTAAAGGAGCAAAGCACTTTACAATATGTGCAGCAAAAAATGTGTTGCGTGAGGGAAATGGATGTCGAGGGCTATGATGTCATGGACTCCCAACACACCAAGCTGACTCACTTTTATTCAACAACTAAAAACTCTGCAATGAGGAAATTGTCATAGAAAAAGAAACAAAAACTAATATACAAAGTTTGTTACCTTGGTTGGCATTTAACCTACGACCACAGATGCTAAGGCTAATTACAGCTAGTTAATTTAGTCAATTTGAAATGCAGAGAAACACACTGTATGCCAGGCTTATTATATTAAACTATGGCAAAAGCGGAAAAAAAGAAGTGAAACAATATTGTTACTAAACTAAAACTGAATAAAATCAATATTGGCTGGTTGAAAACGTAATACAAAAAGAAATGGACATACTTTATTTCTGTTTTTATTTTTTAGCTATAGCAAATCGTTACCAAAATAAAAAGGGAGACAATACTTTTGAGACTATATATATCCAGCTCACACAAACAAAAACTACAACTGAATATTTAAAAAAAAAAAAACAGCTAAATAAAACAAGCAAACACATTCTGAAAACAAACTAAACCAAAATGAAATTCAATACCATTATCATATTGCAGCTTATTGTATGTTATATTGGCGGTGGAGATAGTAATCATTAAGCTTTTGTTTATGTTCATATATTTAGAGCTCAACATGTTATACTTAGCTGGCTTCAGAACCACTAATAAACACTACGTAACACCACCACCTCAGCCAGGGGGTCACCCTAATGTGTGGCATTCACTCTTCACGTCATAGGAATTCAATCAATAAAACTTGAACTCTGATATGTGGCAAAGACCCAACAAGAGTTTTCCCGCCCTCGACATGTGTTTGAATTGACAAGAATGATATAGAGCATTAGCAAGAATCAGAGAGGGGGGGGAATTATGAAAGAGGTAGAGAGACTGAAAGTTAGGCGAGATATTGTGCTGCGACTGACAGGAAGAGATGAAGCCAAGGTGAGACAGGGTGGACAGGCAGACCGCAAAACAAACAGAACAGAAGGTCAGAGCAACATGAAGAAGAAAAACAATTTAAAACTTGTTAGACTTAC